TAAAAGCACTACTGCTTGGATAGCTTTTGTAAAGAGCGTAGTTCTTCTTATTCGTTATAGACAATCAGGCTGCAGGCGTCAGCATTTTTGGGAAATCAAACGCGCTCACTGTGATACCACTGAGAACCTCATTTAACTCACAACCGCTAGTCAAACCCAATTGTGAAGTTACCCGAAAACTCGCTAAAGCATCCAAAAGCTTAAATCCTTAGAGACTTTAATCTACTCCTCCAGCCGTTGCATTCACAATTGAAGTTCCTTAAAGTTCTCCTAATCTCTACAACTGCAGTCATTTGATTCTACCTCCCTAAAAGGGGATGCGCCGGTAGAATCTCCATCATCATGAGCTAATCTGCTATTTCTACTATTTCTAGGGATTCTTGCCCAAAATTACGAGATCTCGCCTTGCTCATTGCAGGTCAGTCGCATAACAGATGGGTGATCGTTTCCTCCTCTTCAACCTCCTTGTAGCTTCTGCAGTCTCTTCTATAGGGTGCTCCTAGTTTCTTCGCGTGGCACCCTAACAGACAGTGGTTTATCAGAACTCCTATAATTTTGGACATCTCGTCTCTTTTTAAGGAGTGCATATCTCATGACCGCTTTTTAGCCCATTCGGCCATGTGTGTCTGGTTTTGCGGCAGATTGTAATGTCATTTCACCTTGTAGTGGATTGTTCATATATGAATTCCTTGAGAAGCCGTTTGCATGTACCAAAAAGCATACCAATGCGTTCTTCATCGAGAAAAATCTGCTTGTACCCCGCCTAGCAAATTCATCCGCATTTCAGTTTCCCCCGACGTCCCTGTGATCACGGACCCAACTAAGTGATAATCTCTTCTGTTTGGCCAGCCCATGTACAGATCGGCAACAGCTCAGCACTAATGTGGAGTTTAGCGTAAGCGAGCCCAGGGATTTTATTGCTGCTTTACTATCGCTGAAAATGAAAAGGCTTTGCAGCCCCCATGATAGCAGATATCTTCACCTGGAAAACACTGCAATGGTTAGGTAGCCTGAGCGACGGTTCCATCGGAGGGTTTTCTTAGAAGATACTTCCGCCAACTCTCCCCTCAATCTTTAACCCGTCCGTGTATATTTCCAGACTACCATTTGGAGTATCTGTCCATTCTTCCCTGCTGGGAATTCATATTCTAAAATGGTTATCAATTACTACAATTTTGGATTTTCTAAAATAAGATGTCTATTACTTGAGTGATAGACGGAATGATTTGAGAATTATACTAGTATCAATCTCTATTTAAGTACATCGCCTAGGAAGTAACGCAGTATACCTGCTATGAGAAAAATAGGTTTGGGCTCAAACGCGGGCCGTATAACGCGACGCGCCGTTTCCCAAAAAACTTTGTTCCTATTACTCCTGTAGCCTAATTTATTTGCTTTGTTAATGTTTTACTTTTAATCAATATTTTCGTGAATTTTCCTTTTCTTAGATAGGCTTAATTCAAAATGTGCTTTCTAACCGATTTTCGGCCGCTCTCCTCCCCCAATTTGTAGTGTGTGTGTGTGTGTCTAATGGGTGAACTACAAGCAAGCCTAAACCGCCACCGAATGGCTGATGGATTTTTATGAGATGCTTTAACTTCCTGTAAGATATACCCGGAGGACTGGACAATTACTGCGAAGAGGTGACTCCAAATAAAAATAGTTAATTCTTAATGAAATTTATTAATTTTAAATTAATTTTCTATAAGTTTGGACGTTGGTTTGGCCATCCGGCTACCTTCTTCGTCGCTTATAGGCTTTAAAATAAGTAGCCCACCTTAATGTTGCTGTCCGCGTATAAATTGACATTTAATATCAATATACATATCAATATACATACTTATACTATCACCGGCCCATCATTTGACCACGTCTGTATTTAACGGTGTAAGATCAACATCACGCCAACATACATCTGAAAGACTTGAAATCAGTTCTATATAAATACATATATTTACTTGTGCATATTATCGCCTCGGTATGTTTGGTAGCAATGTGTGGGAACAGTCAACGGCATTTTTTAAATTACACATTCAAGAATTCAACTACAATACATGAAAATTAAAATTTATTTCAAATACCCTGAAGGCACAATTTAAATACATAATTTGCACTGATACAAGAAATTCTTGGTGTAGCTAAATTTTAATGATAGTTTTCAGAATTTTTTTATGATTTATTACTTAATGAGGATGATATATTTAGTAATTATATAAAACACATATTTTTTTATTATTTGATTAATTTATTTATATTGAATTTATCTATATTTATTAATATAAAGACTTCATTCCTTTCAGATTAATCGTTTTGATAGGTACCTTTGACCAGCACTCGCCTCAAATGCAATGGCCGTGAGAAAATTGGCATTGGTGGCCACAGAGGAAATACGGACAGGTTGGATGACAGCAGTAAGCAATGTTATACTTTTTTTAAATAAGTCCTTGTACTAGGGGCTGTCAAAATCCATCCAAATTTCTTTTCCACATGTCCTATCTGAACCATCCTGAGGTTTTCAAAAGCAAATTAATCTTAATAGTTTAATATGAGTAACTTCTTACACCATATCTTAAACTGATGACGACAGTTGCCAACCTTTTTCCTGCACAATTATTTAAACCACCACGCGAGATATTCTCCCATCTCTTCTTCTTTGACTTCTAGCCGTTATATGGGATCCATACCGGCACGTCTATCAATAATGCCACGACCTGTTAGCACCCAATTACCACTCATTCAATTCTGGCCCCGCTAGTTTGACGGAATGCTTCGCTCATAACTTCTAGGTAGTATTCCTTATTGAGCGTAAGATCTTGTGGCAAGAATTCATGATGCGCCACGCCACGTCGAAAAAAAGGTGAATAAAACCTACACATTTGACTGAACTTGACGGGCCCTTTTTCGGTCTTGGCTATTCTGAACGCTTCCATTGGGATGATTGGGCTTTCGTTTCAAATACATAGCCATACTCCAATGATTCGTCACCAGTTATGACCAATTTTGAGGTAATCTGGATCGAGCAGCAGAGACTAGTCTAAGCCATCGGGCACATCTAATGAGCTGAAACGAGCTATTTCTTCGGTTGCGGACAATAGGGAAAGGCCAATTATATGAGTAGGTTTTAAGGGGCAAGCGAAGAAGTGATTACTTTCATACGGAGTCTTATCGAAGCTAGGACCTACATTGGGTATGTTGGGGTGAACTCTGGATATGTAGAAATTACAATATCCAGATCTAAACTGTGCCAGTATTATTCGGATCTCTCGAGACAGTTCGAACTCTTCATTTGCAATAGGTGGTGCATGTATTCCGATAACCATAATTCCTGGAAGAGACTACATGTAGGTGTTAACGAATTCTCTGTGAATGGCGTCGGTATATTCATCCGAAAAGATACTACCGGCACCTCATAACTTTTGGTATTGAAGTTCCGGTGACGTCCTGTGGTTTCCTGTCATAAACCTAGAAGCAGTGTTATGCCATGCTATTAGCTTTTTTATCTGTGTCTAGATAGTTCACGGCGTCCATCGGAGCATCGTAATTTAACGCATAAGAGTTGAGCCGAATTTGATACATCCTTCTGTCGGTCGAGCCACGTTTAGGTCATCAAGTAAGTTGATCCGCAAAGATGGTAATTCTTCCGTCTTTATTTAATAAAAGGGTTAATCATAAAAAATCATCAACTTTTCGGAGCCGACTTAGTATAAACTGTACTATACTGTGGGACTCCCTATTTGTTGGTGAACATCAAAAAGTAGAATTCTCTGTCACATTTTCACCGTTAGTCAACTGCGCAAACTCCGCGTACTCATGAATTCAGCAAAATTTCTCTGAGTACAGTTCAGTGTTATTATATTAGCTACAACAGATGGTGGCTCAAGTCAATGATAGTACAAAAAACTGAAGTCTTATTTAAAGTCTTTCGTCGATTTGGTATCGAATCTTCCGAAACGGATGTAGCTAAGTGGTTGAAAGTAAATATTAGAGAAATCTGCTTTTGTCTATTCTAATACCGCAATTTACGAGTGATTAATAGCACGAGCAACATTACGGATAAACCCGATCTTGAGTCCTGGCTCGGCTAATATCCAAAATTATACGAAATTAATATTAATTAAGTTAATTTTTCTCAATGCAGTCGGCTTTCGGCAGTGAATATCAACTCTCTGATATGTGTAAATCAAAAAAGTCCTCATAAAAATTGACCAGCCGGTCGGAACTGGTTTAGAATGACCTGTAAGTGCCTCCATTTGTTGGAAAAATAACATCACACACTGGTAATTGGAGTTGTAGCTCTACCAAAAATATATTTGCTCATCGCAAAAATATTGTCGATTTCATTTTATATCATAGATTTTTGGTAAGTTCGAACCCTATACATATATGAACTTAATCTCCAAGTGGTTTCTTTTATTCGCTTTAGCTCGCTTACAAATGGTTCTATTTTTCGTTCGCCAGGAGTCCTGAGTTGCTACTCTTGACTCAAGTCAATTTTAGTATTATAAAAGCTAAAATGATTTAATTTTTCGAACATGGTTTTATTCGTTCATTTACACATCTTGTTTTTCCTAAATACATAGAAAGCATTAAAATTACAAAGAGAAAGACAACAGTTATGAGAACAAAAGTATGAAAAAGAAAAAAAAAATACATAAATCTCTTAGCTATTTATATACAGTTAAAAGGATAAATTTTAATTTTACATTTCGAAATCAATTTTAAAATTAATAACGGTTTCATCTTTCATCTTCTTTCACTAGCCATTGACAGTATTGACATTCTTACAAAACATATTACAATTTACAATTGATTATTCATACTTATATTTGATTGTGCATTAAATATATGTTTGGCGGATGATTTTAATTAACAAATGAAATGAAATAAACTAGTTTCGGAGAGAAGCATTAACAGTTGGCGAAAATAAATAAACGCTTAGAAGGCACACTTTTGCTTTGAAGAGAACTAAATTAACAAGCGCAGCGTCAGGTATGTGTGCACTCATGAGTATTGAGGTGTATTTTGGGCAGCGTATTTTGGAATAGCGTTAGCGTATTGTGGAGGGCGATCGTCTCAAGGTTCAACATAATCAACGACATTTTAGTAATTATAGCCGGTTTGGGGATTGAATTCACCACTCCCATGCCGACCGGGAGCACCCCCAGGCCCACCGCCAGCAGCGCCGCCAGTACTTGGTGGCACATACTGCGTACCAGGTCCACCAGCGCCACCGCGTCCACCACCGAAACCACCAGCGCCAGCGCCAGGGCCGCCACCGCCTCGTCCACCGGGACCTCCAGCACCGCCTCCGAATCCGGGTGCACCACCAGAACCACCAGGACCACCAGCACCACCACCGTAACCTCCTGGACCGCCAGCACCTCCTGGCCCACGACCTCCAGGACTACCACCGAAACCTGGTGCGCCACCGGCACCAGGGCCACCGCCATAACCACCAGCTCCCGGACCACCGGCTCCGGTACTAGGTCCACGACCACCAGCGCCGCCACCAAATCCTGGTGCGCCACCAGCTCCAGAGCCTCCTCCATAACCACCTTGTCCACCGGCACCACCTGGACCACGTCCGCCGGCACCTCCGCCGAAACCTGGTGCTCCACCACCGGTACCTGGTCGTCCAGCGCCACCACCGAAACCAGGCGAGCCACCAGCTCCTGGACCACCACCATAACCGCCAGCACCTGGACCACTAGGACCACGACCACCAGCACCACCACCAAATCCAGGTGCGCCTCCAGCTCCAGGACCGCCAGCACCAGGTCCTCCGGGACCACGTCCACCGGCACCGCCACCAAAACCTGGAGCCCCTCCAGCTCCACCAGGTGCGTAATTATAGCCGCCAGCTCCACCACCAGCTCCCCCGGTACCTCTACCACCACCTGCACCCCCACCGAAACCGCCTGCTCCGGGTCCAGCAGGTCCACGACCACCAGCGCCACCTCCAAAACCTGGTGCTCCACCAGCTCCTTGACCACCTCCGTATCCGGGAGCACCACCAGCACCGCCTGGACCGCGACCACCAGCACCGCCACCGAAACCAGGTGCTCCGCCAGCGCCTGGACTACCGCCAAATCCAGGGGCACCACCTGTACCGCGACCACCAGCACCACCTCCAAAACCTGGTGAACCGCCAGCACCAGGCCCACTACCATACCCTGGCGCTCCACCAGGTCCTCGTCCTCCAGCTCCACCACCGAAACCTGGTGCACCGCCAGCTCCAGAGCCGCCACCGTAACCACCTATTGAAAGCAGAAATTTAATTTCACTCAATAAATTCTAGTCAAATTAAGCGTACGTACCACCACCACCACCACGACCGGCATCACCATAACCGCCTGCTCCAGCGCCACCACCATAACCGCCTGCTCCAGCGCCACCTCCTGCACCGCCAAACACTAATACCATAAAAAATTAATTAGTTGTAAACAAATAACAAATTATCAATTTTTTTTTCTTTTCTTTTTTTTTTTGTTTCTCCATTGCATACAATTTAAATGACAATTAACTCACCACCAGCTCCAGTGCCCGGACCGCCAGTGTAACCACCGCCTGGTGCTGCTGAAATACCTTGTGCCGCTAAAGCCTTGGCAATCTCTTCCGGTATGGGTGGTGGTGTTGGTAGTGCATCACCGGTAGGTTGGAAGCCGTTCTCATCGGCCAAGTATGAAATCTCAATCAGCTCACCTTCCGGATTTGTATACGAATATGAACCCATCACAGAAGCGATTTCATTTTCGGAACCCTTATTTTTAATTGTACCCTCTTCTTGCGCCTTAATGCCATTACCGGTCTCGTAGCTGTAACGATAATTACCATCGCCATCATTTTCATTGACGTAAGACAAGATTGGTATTGGTGGGCCAGATGGTTGCGCGGGCCCAGAAGGACCTGAAGGGCGTCCACCGCCGCCAAAACCGCCGCCACCACCAGGTGCGCTGCCGCCACCACCAAATCCACCAGGTGCACCACCACCGCCTATGGGACGACCAGGACCGCCAGCACCTGGAAAACCACCAAGCCCGAAATTACTACCACCCGGTCCTTGCAAGCCGGGACCGCCACCAGCACTGGCTGCACTTGCAGGCGGAGGTAGATATTTGTTGTCTAATCGTGCGCATTGTGTAAACGCTAGAAGCGTTATGAAGAGTAGCTGAAATGGATCAAACATAAAAAGCCAAAAAAAAATTATTAACAAATAAATAAATTATTTGAGTGAAAATTTTTAATCATATTTTATTTATTGGTTTTCACAGCTTTGTTAAATTAAATACCATGGAAAATCGTCAAATATTAAGTCATCAACAACATCTCCAAACACTACCAACAACAAAGAACAAGCAAATTGACGACGTCATCATAAATACTTCTCGCGTCATTAATGAGAAAAGTGAAGCCAACATACATTTGTATGTATTGGGTTGTCCAAAAAGTAATTGCGGATTTTAAAAAAAAAAGTAAATGCATTTTTAATAAAACTTAGAATGAACTTTAATCAAATATATAATTGCCATCTTGTCCGATAACCTTTTGCCATCTTCCTGGCAAATTTAGTATTCCACGCTCATAGAACTTCTGGCCTTTATCTGCGAAAAACTGAACCAAGTGCGATTTTATAGCCTCATCATTGCCGAAAGTTTTACCATTTAAGGAGTTCTGCAAAAAATGGTAGTCTGATGGTGCAAAATCAGGGCTATATGGTGGATGCTTCAACAGTTCCCAGCCAAGCTCACTCAGTTTTTGGCGAGTGACCAAAGATGTGTGCGGTCTAGCGTTGACCTGGTAGAATATGACACCTTTACAATTGACCAATTCTGGTCGCTTCTCCTTGATGGCTTTATTCAATTTGTCCAATTGTTGATAGTAAACATCCGACTTAATCGTTTGGTTCCTTGGAAGCAGCTCAAAATATACGAAACCCCTCCAATCCCACCAAACAGACAGCATAACCTTCTTTTGGTGGATATCAGCCTTTGAAGTGGTTTGAGCTGGTTCACCATGCTTGGACCATGATCGTTTCCGACTAACGTTGTTGTAAACAATCCATTTTTCATCTCCAGTTATGATTCGTTTTAAAAACGGATCGAATTCATTGCGTTTAAGGTGCATATCACAAGCGTTGATTCAAGCTTTTTCACCAGTTCAAGACTTTTCATGTGATAATGAACGGTTGATTTTGTTATATTTAACTTCTCTCCTATCTCACGCTCAGTTACATGACGATCCAATTCGATTAATGCTTTGATTTGGTCATCATCATTTTCATTTGACCGACTTGAACGTGGCTCATCTTTAAGTGAAAAATCGGATCCAATCGGAATTTGCGAAACCAATTTTGACTGTCTTCCTTTTAAGGCTTCATCACCATACACATCTCGTAACTTTTTAGCAACCTGCTCCGCGTTTTTTCCTATACGGAAATAATAAAGTAAAATATGACGAAAATGCTCCTTTGTGAGCTCCATATTAAAATTGACGCCAAACAAACACATGTAAACAAAATTTCGCGCACTTTTTTCTAAAGCAAGCTAAAAGTAACAGCTGATAACTGATAAAAGAAAGAATGCAATTACAGAGTCACAAGCCGTTGAAAAAATTTGTCAACGCCGACTATATGAAAAATCCGCAATTACTTTTTGGGCAACCCAATACATATATACATATATTATATATATTTATATATATACATATTTATTTTTTTATTACTCTTCTTTCTATTTAGGTACGTATGCAGTAGGTCAGCCGGCAGTGCGAGTATGAACTAAAAGCTGCTGCCGTTTCTGAATTCAACATAGTGATAAAATAAAGAGGTAATCCGTTGAAAAAGTCAAATAAGGAAAATTAATATTCGCGCTAACCGAATTATGAACTGTAGAACTGTTCATAATTAACAAAAATGGCCTTCCAAAGAGTTTAAAAGTGTGAACGTGTATCAGAAAAATGAGAGCGAATAGCGCAATCTATGTCATATATCAATAATGTAGAATTTTTCGTCTTTATTTAATTATTCGTACCAGCCGAAGTGCATTGATAAGGAGAACTTATAATTTCTGAAAGTTTAAAATAAATAAGTAAGTTTTTTCAATATTTTACGGAATATATGGTACACAGCAGCTGATGAGCAATTCTTTATAGCCAAGTTTGGCGGTTGCCTTCCATGATAGTCTCAGGTTTAAAGTGGTCCGATTCGTCACTGGTTTCCCGTCACCCATTTGTTGGATTTTCGGGGTTCGTCACCACAAAATTTATTAAAGAATTGAATGGTATGAGAGATACGGCAATAAAAACTTAAAAAAGAAATTATTTTAAAATAGCTGGCTCATTACTAACATAGTTTGAAGCCAAAAATATAATATAATACTTTGCATACTAGGATATCGTTCAAGTAAAAGCTCATCCATTATCTCGATTGCCCAGAAGCTGAAACATTGAACAAAAAACAGTTGAAAAACCTCTTGGGCCGAATTTCCATCCGCCAAACGCTGCTGAATCGTAATAAAATCGACCCATTTCTGAAACAGATGGTGATTGGTGATGAAAAATGTATAACTTGCAGCAACGTCAAATGAAAACGGTCGTAGTTGAAGATCAGTGAGCCGGAATAAATAGTCTTCAAGCCAAAAATGACAGCTAGGAAGGTTTATTTGTGAGTTTGGGAGGGATCAGCGAGGAAAAATCCACTATGAACTGCTCTCCTACAGCCAAACTCTTAAATCGTTGGTCCGAAGAAAGAATTCGTTCAACAGCGTCTGAAACTCTGAAACAGGGAAATCGACTACTAGGTATTGCAGGCGCGATGAGTACTGCCTCAACCAAGGCATTGGTGATTATCATTGATATCAAGACAACATCACTAATAACCAGGCCGTCTATAACTTCTGTACAATAGGGTTGGTTTTCTAATTGGGAAGAACAAGATAGCAAACGGACAAACAAAACTCTACGTAAACATAAGGAAACCTTTCGAAAACCGAGCAGGAAAGATTGTGCGAAAACATTTCTTCAATCCCAATATAAGAAAACCTACTTACTCGTACTAAGAGCTTTAAAGAATTAAGTAATTTCTTTCTACTTTTTCCATTTAATTTATAGCAACTGATGAGCGAATCTGTAGTTGTTTAGTGCAAGGGGCAACTGTAACCGCAACCTTCCGCGGTCGGGTTCGGAATCAGCGCAGTCCAGAATATCACTGGTTTTCGTCCACTGGTCTGCTAGAATTTTCAATTATCTATAATGTGAGCTCTCGGTCGGTTGCTCAGGAGATAACGGGGGTAAGGCTGTGTTCGTTGTCGAAAAAAAATCTGTTGTACGAACAAACCTAATATACCCCATAAATCGTTACATTCCGCCCCAATATTATATAAAAGTCCACAAACAAGCACACGGCATTGTTGGTGGCATCTTCAAACTAAAGTTAGTTTCATCGTAGCAACACTCCTATTTTTAGGCAAACGTGCAAGTCGCCAGCAATTTTTCAAACTATACTTACGTATGTATGTATGTACATAGACGTATATGTATGTTGCCATCGTCGCATCAACTTATGGCCATACCGATCGAATGATTCAAATAATTGTCAATTTCAACTGAAAATGGGAGGTAGGTCAGTAACAAAAGCGGCAATGCAACAGATATAGCAACAACAACAACAGTTAAAAAACAACAGCTATACTGGCTAAAGCCATCGTAAAAGTCAATAGTGAATGTGCGTTGCTCGTGCACACAACGTATATATATGTAACCAGCAATGCAGCATTGCAAATGAATTCATCGATAATGTGAAAATACATATGTATGTATATGAATCTGCTGGTGTATGTATGATTAAATATTTTTGTATGTTTGCAGTAAACTATGAATGAATGCATGCCTGCCAACGCCTGCACACTTGCGACGGTCTCAGGTTGCGATTACGCCGAATTTGCCGGCAATCAGTTGGATTGCATGAGAAATGAGTTTGGCGAAGATTACGGTAAATTCGTTTATTTACTACTTTAAATTTTTATTTTAATTTTTTCTTATTTGCAAATTTTAGCACTCTAAGCGGTGGCTGTGGAAATTCATTTTTATTTTTTATGTATGATGGTTTTTACATTTGTTGTAATACATGCATACATACTTACATACTACACACATATATCGGGCATCTTCTCACGTTTTTGATTTACTTTGATGCGCTGCTTTTATTGCCAATTTATGTATGGGCGCTTATACACACATATATATGTGTGTATGTATGTATGCATATATTATTTCGTGGCATCATAAACTTAAAATTTTATGCCAAGATCTTTGGTCGAAGATTTACTCGTATATATTTTAGATGCGCCGCTTGCTTAGCGAGTGTTTTCCTCGTTTTGAGAAATATTTTGCTGTGAAGTATTTTTTTTATTTTTATTTTTTTTAAGTTTTTTTTATTTCAATTTTATTTTTCTTATTTTATTTGATTTTTCTCTGCGAACTCCGGCTAGGCACGTTCAAAAAAAATACTTCTTTGACATTTATGGCTCAGAGTGGCTTGCTGCCCATCTCTACATATATACAAACATACATACATATTCGTATGTGCATATCTCTCTCAGCCAGGCACAACTAACGATGTTTGTTTCTTTTGTCAGTCAAGTTTGTTTTACAACTGCACCGGAGTCATCATTCAAACGCTCAACTATGGTGGCGGCGTACAAACACAAAATATGCGCATACATATAAAGTTTACATATATATTTATTTTTTTTTGTTTTTTTTTGGTTTTTTTTCTTTCAAAATGCTTCTTCTGCTCAACTTGGTTGCATGTTTGGAAAAAATTACTGCAAAACATATTTCTTGCACTTCACCTCGCGTTGCGTTTGCAACAAACGTGCTGCATATGTATGTAAATGTGTTTGTAAGTGTTCACACTTTGCCGCAGGTAAGCGTACATATCAAGCGGTTTTATTTAAACGCAACTCAAGTTATCGCCAATGGTAAATGTTAAGTGGCATTTATGCGGTTTTAAAGTGTCAAGTTGAAGTTTGTTTTATGCTTAATGAGCTGGGTAAGCGATATAGATGTTAAACATATGATATGTGTATATATGTGTATATGTACATATTTATTATTTACATTTACAGCATTCAGAGACAGTCAGTTTTTATCTTTTTATAACATACATAC